GGATGCTTCTTCTTCAGCCACATGGGAAAGCCGACCATCCTTCAGATTCATGGACTTGCTTTGGCTTCTCTCTGACACAAGAGAATGAGGTACTCTCGTTAAAGACACAAGATATCTCCCCTGATTCAAAACTTGTAACATACTATTTTGGCATTTGATCAAATTGCAGCAGGCTGGAAAAGCATGGTCCAAAGGGTCACTATCCAATGCGTTATTAAAGATTCGAAACTACCTAAGAAATGCAGATATGGAAGGTGTGTGAGATTGTTGATTCAGGTTGAATAAAGCTTAACTTGATACAGTTAACATTGCAATTGGTGATATTTCTTGATTTAGAGCCTGTTTGAATTGACTTATTTTAGGTGCTTTTAAGCACTTTTGTAGTATTTGGGTAAGGTTAAAGTGATAAGCCCATCCAAACGGGCTCTTAAGCAGCTTATGTTGAACACTACACAGTAGTAGTTGACAGTTTTCTTTTAACTCCACATCAAATTAGGTGTTGTTGACTCTGGTCGCCTTTTTCACTCTCGAGATACAGATATTTTCACCTTCCTTGCACTGCAGAAAATTCATTGCTAGTTGTTTAGTGAGGCTAATGTTTGTTTGATGTTGTTTATTTCATGCTAGATCAGGCTTACTCAGCAAAACTCAGGATACAGACTCTAGTCACTTGGAAGGGGAAAAACGGAGATGTTGTTCTTCAATTTTATTAGGAATAATTGAGGTGATGTTGAATATAGTTGGGACTGAGTTTGGGAAAACAACTGATGGGAAAAAGTTGGAGTTGGAAAAAGAACTGTTTGACTTTATTGGTATATTTGAATCTCTGGACCAAAACATATGTAGGCAGGGTGGTGGTTCAACTCAAAGAGGTTCTATACGGACCACTGCAAGCAATGCTTCAGAGGAGCTTGAATTTAGTGGCAGTAAATTATGTCCAGAACGAGTTCCTCTGTTAGCAACTTCAATTATCTATCAGCTATTGCAAAGCACTGTAGAATCATGGAGATGTGATGGTTTTAACAACAATGTGGCCTCTCAAAAGCATAGCCAATCATCATCTGGAAAGGCACCGACTCAGTATTATAAAATTCTTTCTTTTACTCTTAACATTTGCCTTCGTCAGCTAAAAGCATCCTCTGTTATGCGACAGCAAGATCCTCTAAAAATGTTGATCTATGGGGAGATCAAGCAGTTGGGCTCCCCTTTGCTGAAAATGATTTGGTGCCTCCTCTCTGAACCAAAATCTATGATTGATAGTAGGAAAAAAGATGCTTATATGAAAAAAGATCTTGATGACAGGAAGGAATATATCCATTTGGGACTTCTTTCCTTGAAAGAATTGCTGGCAGTAATGTTGCATGAGTTGGATTATTCTGTTCTTATAGATGACTTGGCTACAGTTTCTGGTCCTGGGGATGAAGGAGGCAATGCTATGGATGGCCACCATGCTACCGAATGCGAAAAAGCTGATGACATTCCTTACAAATATACAAGTGAAGAATTATTCATCAAAAACAGCATAAGGCCGCTGATTTCTATGCTACTTACACGCTCTTTCTTCCGTGAAGTTGAGGTAAATGCGTACGATTAGGAATCTTTGATTTGCTCATGAAATTTTTGCATGATGTATTGCATTGTTCTTTTTACTTAATACCATCTATGTTATGTTTGCTGTCAGGTTCTTTGTGATGTTATCATGTTAATTAGCAATAAACTGCCAGAGGAACAAAGGAATCTTGTTGGTAATTGGGCTAAATGCATCTGCAAAACTAGTAAAACATCAAATCCCAAGGCTGCTAAAAGTATTGTATCTATTGCTATATTGTTAACTTCACCACCAAACGACTTAGTTATTGCCGAAGACATGGCTGCAGAGCTTTTAAAAGTGGTGGGATCAGAATCAGAATCAGAATCAGAAAGAGGAGATTCACAAGTGACACTGGATGCGTATTCAACTATAAACAGATCAACTAGTGCCCCACTAGCTTCACTAATACTGGACTTAGTCGAATCGGTTATTCATGAAACTGAATGGGTCATAATGAAACTGAAGATATACTCTCTTCCAAATATGAGAGCTGTTTTGGTTAATCAAAAGGGTGAAAAGGATACACGATTGGCGCTTGAAGAGACTGTTTATTCAAGAGCAGAAGCTGTTGTAAAAGTGATATCTTCTTTTGTAAAGATGAACCTTAAGGGTATGCTTAAAATAATCTAGATATTCTCGTTATTAATTAATCTATACTATATGTCAATCATCTAACTCCAAGATGAATAGCAGATCCTCAGGCAGAGCAGTTGGTGAAGTTAGCTGCAAGGTTTTACAAGAACTTAGCCCGAATGTCAAAGCTTCTAATTGCTTCCAAAGGTGTGCAGCAACCTTTACCAAGCCTCAAGTACCAAAAGCTTGTGGAAATAACTTGCAGGCAACTAACAGCTCCTCTCTACAATTTTGTGCGGCTGATGCAAATGGTAAAAGCTCTGGGAGACTCTTGTTTAAGCTAAAGTTTCACCTCTTTTGTTCAAGAAGGTTTCTTAATTCTACCTGCTTAACTTGTAGAAACAACTAGACAGCACGAAATCGAAAGCACTCGTCAGCAAAATCAAAAGGGAGAACAGATGCATTCCAGACTTGATTTTCCAAATAGAAGACTGTGAGAAATATCTCATACAAATTAGCAAGGCAACAAAAATAAATTTGCTGAGGCATGCAAAAAGAAGCACCTCCAGGGACTTCAAGATAATAGAACCACAAAATTTTCCTGTAGAAGAAGATGCTGGAATCCAAGATGCAGACAATAATGGTGCAGCAAGAGGTGAGAGAGAATCATCAGAAAACCTTCGTGATGAAGGACATGGAGTAGAAGATGATTCAGTGGCCAGTGCTCATGATGATGATGAAGGAAATGAAGCGGAAGAGGCTTACAATAGTCCACGTGGAGTAGAAGATGATTCAGTGGCCGCTGCTTTTGATGATGATGAAGGAAATGAAGTGGAGGAGGCATACAGTAGTCCACATGGAGTAGAAGATGATTCAGTGGCCGCTGCTTTTGATGATGATGAAGGAAATGAAGTGGAGGAGGCATACAATAGTCCACATGGAGTAGAAGATGATTCAGTGGCCGGTGCTGCTGCTGATGATGAAGGAAATGAAGTGGAAGAGGCATGCAACAGTCCACTAGCAGTAGTGGCTTCGGAGTCTGAGAGTGATGCTGAAGCTGCTTATCTTCCTAAGGCAAAAAGAGCAAAAATGAGGAGAGTCGTTGAGGACTCGGATGACGAAGCATAATAAAGACATGTAAATATGATGAAAAGGTTTGAAGTTTTTAATTCTTTGAGAGATGCCAGCAAGTGGTTCCAGTTTTCAACCCCATTTAAATTTCTCTTTTCTGTAGCAGTCTTTTGGAAATTTCTTTGTAGTTTTTGGTGAAGAAAAATGTATTTGATTTGTGTATAGTTTTACTTTTTCCTGCGTTAGAAGTATGGAGTAATGGCAAAGCATCTATATAAGCAAGATTAAAGAAACAAATTCCATATTATTACTATTGGGATATACAGTGACCATGTAACTAACTTATATTTATGGAGTTTATTGTTTCAACAAACTTATTGATTTCTAGTGTAAGCATTCTTTCGTCTATTTTAAAATCCTAACATTTGGAGTATATATCATACTCTTGAGTCGTACAGCCGTACTCAGTTAACGAATCAAATCTTGGAAACTTGTCTTTATATACTACCTTTTCTTTTCAACAAAATCCTGACCCCTATGGATTTAAGTTTCGAAAATGCAATCATAACTAATTTTGAATGGAGATTGAAAACGGCCAAAATTATTACTTGCATCACCTTGAAAGATCTCAGAAGATTTATGTTTTTTTCGTATCAATTTATGCGATATTTTACTTTTTGAAATTTAAATTATATGAACTTTAATTAATATTTTAAAATATATCTGTTCATCATATTGAAATGAGAAAATTGTAATTTATAGTATTTTTATATAGTTTTAAATATTTATATTTTAAAATATTAAATTGATCTTATTCAATTTAATTTTAAATACTAATTGAATTGACTTTTGACAAGATAAAAATACCATATAAATTAAAACGGATGAAATGCTATTCGAAGAGTCTGTTACTTTTACTATGATTTCTCCAAAACCTTTTTAGTATGAAACTTTGATTTGTTGTATTTATTTCCTCCATCAATTTTAAATTGTATGGAAATTAGATACGTAAAAACCATTATTTTTGAAAAGGAAGAAAGTGGAGGACAAATGAGCAGTGTGACAGTAATAAAGTTAAATTTGTACTCTCCCACTCCCACTCCCACTCCCACTTTCACCAACTCGTAGCAATTTTATCTGTCACGTAAAGCAAAATAAAAGGAACATAGGGGTGTTTGGATATTGTTTTTAAGTAGCTTATAAATTAAAAAGAAAAATATTGAAAATATTTTTAAATTTAATGTGAATTATTAATTTCATCTGACGATTTTTTAAAATATTTGTTTGCTTTACTAATTGAATATAAATACGTTATGATCGTGTAATATGAGTGAAATACACTCCTCAATTCTCATCAAGTTTAATGGTATTTTTAACACATCTCTCGATTTTTTATTAAAAGTCACATGTTCTTACAAGAGTTAGAGACCACTTATTATGTCATATGGTAGATCGATATATGTCTAAGTTTAATTAGTCAAGTAGAAAAATATTTTTAACACTGTCAATAATTTGTAGACAAAACTAATAATTTGTGACAAATTCAAAAGTGCTTTCAATACTTCTCTTTAAATTAAAAGCTAAAATTCATAAGTGGATCATATTCAATTTTTAACTTTTAGGTTATTTTTTCTAAAAATAAATATTTAAAAATATCTTTTTATCTTTTCTAAATATGTTCAAAATTTAAAAATCAAAAGCTACCTAAAATTGATTTGATACAATCTTTCGGAAATTGGAAAGAAGAAAGACCACACACATCATTCACCCACGGCCCCTACCCACCCCACACCCCTCTCAACTCTCTCTCACACTCATTCCACACCACCACCCGCCGCCGGAGAGGGGGCTGTTCTACAGTTCCGGCGAAGTATTTTGACGGCTCAAACCTGATATAGAGCTGAAGACATGAGTGAAGACGCAAAAAGAAGCGGAGGAGCTCCGGCAGCGAAGCCTACCTCCGATGATCGGAGAATCTCATCAGGTTCCGTTCCTTCACCTACCGGTACAAAAGTTACCATAAAGAGTGCAGATATGAAACCTGATGTACAAAAGGAGGCCGTCGACATTGCTATTGCTGTATATATCCTCTCGCTGCTTTGCAGATTACAATCATGTATATTTCTCCGACTTATACTGTTATAATTCTATGAATAATGCGTTTTTGTGCTTTTCTGTGTATATGATTAGGCATTTGAGAAGCATAATGTAGAGAAGGATGTAGCTGAACTGATTAAGAAGGAGTTTGATAAGAAGTACGGTCCTACTTGGCATTGCATCGTCGGAAAAAACTTCGGTAAGTCAGAGTTTTTACATGAATTACTTAATGCAACTTTTATATAAGATAACAATCTTTCATTCGTACTAGTATTGGTTGATAGCTTTAAAATTTATATGTTAACTGAAACTTAATTTGTTGTATCCCCGTGATCTGATGGGATGATATGCAATTCATATTCAGAATGATGTGGATCTAGCACTTCATAAAAACCTTGTCCTTAGTTTCCCCATAGATCATACTTATGCATGTTGGATGATTTGTGAATGGATCAAAGAGGTAGTGTTAGGTGAGTTATAGGCCTTGTTCACAGAGTTAGTACCAAGTACCAGGTGAATTAGTATGAGGTTTTGCACAAGCTGGTATGGATAAATACTGTAATTAAAAAGGTATATATGGATGGATCTGATCTTCCTCTATATGGTGATCTTCTCAAGGTTTATGATAAAGATCATTTAGGGAGTTAGAATGGAGGGGTCATTTTCTTCTCTTTGGTGTTGATTCTAACCAGAAAGTGCCATAATCTCTAGTCTCTTATGTAACTTAAATTTCTTAGGAGAACAATGAGCTCTCTAGAGTTCAAATTCGGTGGAGGCAAAAAAGGTACTAGGTTATTTCTTCTCATCTGCCTAAATTTTGGTGGGCAGTGTTACTCTGTACTTGTGTTGGTGAGGTAGCAGGGGCCTGGTGCAATAATCAAGGCGAACAAGATCTCTTGAATACCACCGTCATAAAAAAGTATTGTATACTTATAAGTGAGAAACTGCATCATGGATTTGATTGGCTTAATTAAGTAAATGCCTAATTTTATTTTTTTTGAAAAAAGTGTGATTGAAGACAAGGTGGGAGTGACTTCGGTGTAAGACAAGATGTGGGAAGAGAGGTTAAGTTGGTTCGGGCATGCGATGAGTAGATGCACAGATGCCGTAGTGTAGAGGTGTGAGAGGTTGGTTATGGATGAATTTAGAAAAGGTAGAGGTAGACCAAAAAAGTATTGGGGAGTGATGATTAGACATGACATGACACAGTTGCAGCTAGCTGAGTTCATGAAAGGTGTGGAAGACATGAATCAGGGTAAAAAGTTAGTTGATAGGAGTGCGTCCATACTAGTAGGAAGGAGTGCTTTGTCTTGTTGCCCTTACTAATAGTCGTAGAAGTACTCTAGTAGTTTCTTATTCTTCGATTTCTATCACTATCTATTATTTCGTGTGGTTCATTTGGAGTATTATTTTGTTGTAATACTGTTTTGTTTTTACTATATATTGTTTTTGTTAACTATCTATTGCCTCTTGTACTTTCATTATGTCTTTTTCTAGACTGTTTTGTCTAAAATTAGAGGTCTATTGGAAACCATTTCTTTACCTCACCTCTAAGGTAGAGGTAAGGTCTGTACACTCTACCTTCCCCAGTCTCCACTAGCTATGTTGTTGCTCTAAAAAAGTGTGATTGAAGGTCCTTTTCCTGAAAGTGTACTAGTCCTTATATGAATGCCTTGTGATTAGAAAAGGTCTTGTGAGAAAGAGTGTTATTGATAAACATAGGGGGTACTATGTGAGCTATGTACCCTTTTTTGCTCTTGAAAGTAGCACAAATGGTGCTTATTTTTTTTGAAAAGGTACATGGCTCACATCACCCCTTGAGGAGAGGCCCTTCCCTGGACCCTGCGTGAATGCAGATGCTTTATGCACCGGGTTGCCTTTTTAAGAAGCACAAACGGTGGATGATGCAGTGACTATTAGTTGGATGTGTCTAAACAAGTATCTTATTTCGCTGTACTTATGAGTAGCATATGAAGAGTATCATGGCTTTGTGTTTCCCTACTGTTTTTTGAAGAACAGTGATCAAAGAACAGCTGATTACAATTGTGTGTACACTAGTACAATGGGCTAATCACACGCCTCACTGTAAAAGTTAAAACATATTTTGCAATTGCTATAAACTAATTGTTGCTTCTTTCATTTCTTGATGTATGCTATTTTGAGTGAGTCATCAGTTTTCCAAGTGCTAAGACTGATTTTTAACCTATATGTGACTTTCTTGTTATCTTTCCAACTCATCTGTGCTTCCAAGCTGTAAGCTGTGCTACTTGTTTAGAGTGAAAGGTTTGCAGTTAAAGAAAGTTATTCTTTATTGGCTTGCATTGGAGATCATGTATTTTCCATTGAGAACGACACAAACACTTCCCCTTTCATGCATTGTTTGTCAGTGCTAGTTGCAATGAGACAATTGCCCTAGTTCATAGGAGTTCGCAAGTGGCAAGTAACATTCAGTGTATGCCAAAAAAAGAAACCTCGTATATTACTTGGACTGTTTGATAAATAGATCTTTAGAGATTTGGGCTTGAAAGAGAAAATTAATGTGGAAATGCCTCGAGGATCTAAGATGCAGAAAGTAGAAATTTCATCTCTATCAAGGTGTCTTGTGGGAACTGATAGAACTTTTCATGGAAGTTAATATTAGCTGGAATGACCAAAAAGTTGAAGTGACCATTCAATTGCAGAGGCAGAATACTATATTTGTTTTCTCCATCTTTGAGTAGACCAAAGTTAAACTATGGTCAATAACCGACTTTACAAATTTAAGTAAGGTGCTGTTGGTATGTCAAAGCAATTTCAACCTATCGAATGCCTTCTATCTGTCATGCTTGTTGGATTCTGTAAAGCAATACCTTTGTAATGTTTGTCACACCTCTCTTACTACCGTTTAAAGTTTAGTGGGTCCATGCTTAGGTTCTATGCGCTAGACAGTTTAACCCTCTTTCTTGTGAAGTTCTAGGCAGATGAACTTTTTGTGGTATGCTGACAGCTTTAGAGTTTTAGTGGATGAAACATGTGCTGCTCATTATTCTTCCCAAAAGAATATGTTTGCTTAGAAGATTAATTATAATTGAATAGCTTGATTTACTTATTTGCAATTACAGTGGTGATATTTGTGTGCCGTCTCTTGTAGGCTCTTATGTGACTCATGAAACGAACCACTTTGTCTACTTCTATTTGGATTCAAAAGCTGTACTTCTGTTCAAATCTGGGTGAACTTGGTAATAACATTGATGGAGACACTAATGAGAGTTAACTCGGATGATGATGCTATATTTTGCGGTTGTACTATTCAATTGAAAATTCCAAGCTGCAACAATTTGGTGGAAAATTCAGTTGTACCTGTATATTTCTGCTTTTACATTGTGTAAACAATTCTAAACTTGATCAAACTTCTCTAAGTTGTTCGTTGATGCTTTGATAACTTGAGGCAAAACAGAAACAATGACTTTATTGAGTGCCGAGGACATTACTATTTTTCCTTCAAGAAAAAAAAAAAAAAGTGGTGTGAGAACAGCCAAGAGTAGCGTTTGATCATGACTGTGATTGTACTTTTGTAAGGCATTTGACAACCTTGTGTGAAGAATGACACAATTGTCTAATATGCGATGAAGGCTTGAAATAGAATGGTGGTTGTTTACGCTTATTTACTTCGCACTCTGTCTTAATTTATGTTACACAGTTTGATTTAATACAAAATTTTAGAATTTTTTTAAAAACTTGTGATCTAAAATAAACCTTAGATTTTTGTGTGATTCATTTCATTAAGGGTGAAATAATTTTTTGAGGCAAGTTATTTTTAATTATAGAAAGATTTTATTTTTTTGGATAAATTAAAATGAAAAACGTCATATAAGAACTAGTTTTTTTGGTATGTGAGTCACATGTCTATGTGTTATGAATTAAGTTCAGCCTAATTTGGATATAAAGGTCATACAAGTAGATATTGGGCTAATAAGAGTTATTGCGATGAAAACAAATAGGATCAGATTAATTTGGGATGGGTTGAGTAGTGGACGTGAGAACGGTTCCATCAAAAGGGGTAGATGTATATTCAAGAATTATGCCTATTGTCAAGTAAAATTTTGACTCCTCTCACCTCTTTCTTAGAGTCTAAACTTTTCATCCAAAATCTTATCTCTATTTTTTAATTACTTGTACTTTAGGGAAAATTACACAAAATAGATCCAATTGTGAGACTATTTACTCAAATTGGACCCAATCCAAACTATTTACCCTTAATAGATTCATGACTGAATCAACACGACGTCAGCATTGTTATTATGAATTAATTCTTTGTGATACTACATCGGTATATTGATACCATATCAATATCATATAGGACTTAATTCATAATCTAATTTATTTAACTCTAAATTAGTAGAAAATATATTTTAACATTTTTTTCTCCTTTTGCAAATTTTTAAGAAATTATATCTAAATTATGTTTCTTTTTTAAATTGATTTTAATTTAAAATATTGAAGAATTGAAACATACCTCAATGATACCACAACAATATGAAGATATATTGTAATGGTATCATGAATGATTGAGTAATCTCATAAAAGGACTGAAGCAAACCTCAATGAAAACACTGCTCAATTGCTCATTGATATTACCAGAGTATGTTATACTTTGATGGTATCAAGGAGGAAAAAGCAGTCCTTAGATGAAGACACTGCTCAGTTACTCATTCAGAGTATATTCATATACTGTAGTATTCCGTGATGGTAAGGAAAAAAAGGTTGAGTGTTGACGTTAGCATGGCGACAACGTGCAAATTATATGCCATTTTAGCTATGAAAGTAATGGGACATTTAGGGTGTGTTTGGTATGAAGGAAAACATTTTCCGGAAAATGTTTTCCAATTTTCTCATGTTTGGTTGGGCTAAATGTTTTGGAAAATGTTTTCCAAATCAACTCATTTTCCTCAAATTTAAGGAAAATGACTTCCCTTCTAAACTTAAGGAAAACATTTTCCAAAACTCTCTTCCAACTTCAAATTACAATTATTTTTTGTTTAAAAATCAATTTATTCCTCAAACCACTCCCTAACCAACCCCCCCCCCCCCCCCAAAAAAAAAAAAAAAAAAATTTAAAGCTTGTTTTTAAATTCAACTTTTTACCCCATCCTCACCCCTACCCCCACCCCCTCCCAAAAAAATATTTAAAAATTGTTTTAAAAGATATTTCTAATTTCAATTTTTTATTTTTTACCCCCACCACTACCCTCGCCCCCACTCCCCATCAACCCCCTATCAACCCCCAACCCCCTTCAAAAAGAAAAAAAATTAACTTTGTTTTTAAAAAATATTTTCAACTTCAAATTTTTATTTTTTCATCCCGATCCGCGATCACCCACCCCCTCTCCGGTCACCCCCCACCCCCAAAAAAAAATTGAGTTTGTTTTTAAAAAATATTTTCAATTTCAAAATTTCATTTTTTCACCCCTACCCTCGACCCCCACCCACCCACTCACCCCTACCAGCCCCCCACCCCCTTCCCCAAAAAAAATAAAAAATTTCAAGTTTGTTTTTAAAAAATATTTTCAATTTCAAAATTTCATTTTTTCACCCCTACCCTCGACCCCCACCCACCCACCCCCTACCAGACCCCACCCCCCTCCCCAAAAAAAATAAAAAATTTCAAATTTGTTTTTAAAAAATATTTTCAATTTCAAAATTTCATTTTTTTACCCTTACCCTCGACCCCCACCCACCCACCCCTACCAGCCCCCCCTGCCCACCCCCAAAAAATAATAAAAAATTTTAAGTTTGTTTTTAAAAAATATTTTCAATTTCAAAATTTCAGTTTTTCACCCCTACCCTCGACCCCCACCCACCCACCCCCTACCAGCCCCCCACCCCCCTCCCCAAAAAAAATAAAAAATTTCAAGTTTGTTTTTAAAAAATATTTTCAATTTCATTCATAAATCAAACACTAAAAATCTTTTCTGGAAAATATTTTTTACTCACCAACCAAACATGAGAAAATAAGTCAAAAATCAACTTATTTTCCTGAAAAACATTTTCTAGGAAAACATTTTCCATGGAAAACATTTTCCTTCATACCAAACACACCCTTAGGGATAAATAATTTACTTTTTTGAGGTACAACTGTTATTTTTCCTTTAATACTTTTATTGGAATTCAATAATTTGAATGTTGTAATTTGGATTCGAAAGTTAAAATCATGTTCCCAGCCTTATTAATATAGAGAGATTTGAATTTGTTATATTGATGCTTTCATTTTCGTAGGGCTGGGCATAAATATTGAAAAACTGAAATACTGAATCGAATCGAATTTTTTTGGTATTTTGGTGTCGATATTTCGGTTTTTGGTTCGGTTTTCAGTATATGTTTTTGTATTTTTGGTATTTCAATTCGGTTTTCGATATGTATTTTTTGTAAACCGAAATATATTATATTATATTATAATATATATTAATTTTTAATATTAAATATAATAGCAAAATGCAGAATTAGGTTAGATTTTTCACTTTTCATTTTTCAACTCCTCAACTTTTCAGCTTTTCAAAATTAGCCATCAGGCAACAGCAAGTAGCGACGCCGCACTTAACAGTTCCCTAATCCCGCACAATTTCTTTAATTTCTTTTTGTTGGACAGCGACCGCTGCCGACCAGTGGCCACCGCGACCAGCAGCTGCCGATCAGCGACCAGCGGCAGCCGACCAGTCAGCGTCTCAGCAGTCAGTGATTTCTCATTTCAGCGACCAACGACCAGTGGCAGCGAACCGACCGGCGACCAGCGACCAGCCTCCAAGTATTTGATTATTTTAACAAAAATCAAACCGAATCGAATTACCGAATGCCCACCCCTACATTTTCGTACTCCAAGGATAGTGGTTGTATTAAATCAATTCGGTAGCTCTGATAATTCAGAGGATTGGATTTATAGGGCAAAGTGATACTGGGCTCTTTGAGGAACATGAGTTGCTCTTCCTTTCGACGGTGAGACCCTCAAGTAGTTTCGTTGGATCTTTTGCGACAACTAATTTTTTGATTGAGATCATCTTAAGGAGAGGTTAGCCCTACATTTTGAGAACGAACCTATGCAAAGTTTCTTATGGTGGTTATCAGTATTCTAACTTTACTATAAAAGATGGAGGATAAATTTTCATTTACATCTCACCAGGTTATAATAAAAATGCAAGGATTAGTGCTTCTAGTCTTTAGTGAAGATATTTCTTCTCCTTTGACCGAAGAAAACTCGAGCCTATTGGATAATATCGAGAGCCATTTGAAACTGTCTGACACTTGTATCGATGAAATAATGTCTATTGGAGATTTCACTGAATAAGTAGAGGAAACTTCTTCTACCTCTAGCTTCTAAGTTGACCTAGAAGATGTACTAGTCATCTAAGGTGTTCGATGATTTTTTTTCATAATTGGTGCCTCAAGATAGTTGTAGAGGTGCGATCCGAGATTTTAACCTTGAACGCATCAAAGTTCAACTATTTGATGAAAGTTTCCTAAGTGATATGTCCAAGAGATATATTACTGCTATTTCTATAGATCGTGGCTTTAGTAAATAAAAATTTGAATTTGAAATCTTTAATGATATGTATCTTCTTGAAGCCTAAGACTATTATGAATTTATATCTTGATAATTTTTCCTGAAGATTAAGGATAATGATACTTGTTGTGGAGCATGGAAAATTTACAAATGAATTCAATCTTTATAATATTTCGTGCCAATTTTTACTTAATCTTAGAGTGATTTTTTTTATTGTCTCTATTCATGGAACTACAATGAATTTTTGTGTATGAAATTTGGGTATACGTTTCTACTTCATGGATTCAACAAGTAATACAAATATAGTAAATATCGATTCATTACAATTTTTGAGATCTCTTGAGTTTTGTTTCTTTCCATATGTAACTCTATAATTTGAGTGTGAAATTTTGATCGGCAATTGTGTATGAAATTTTACATTGTTAATTAGTATAGAAATATCACTGACAACAATTAAAGGCAACAATCTAGATTTATAAAAGGAAGGATCGCAATCTTCTTGTAACGGTTTAAACTAGACTAAAAATACTTCGACAATATTGATACTTGGAAGCTCTTGTTTATAGCTTGTCTATACAAAGGAGGACTATTGGCATGGTCGTGATCATCAAATGTCAAACAAAGGTTGTTGAGCAGTCTTATTTGTAACATTTGCAGGTGAAGTCTTTAGGACTATACTACACGAAACTTTATTTTTTTGATATTGACATCAACATATTATGAGTTATTTGAACTTTACATGCACACTCTATTTGAGTTGACCATTGAAGCATCAAACAATATGAGAAAGTTATCGCCTTTCAAGCATTTGAACTATGGTGTAAGTCCCTAAACTAGGTGGTTTGCAATGTGCAATTTTTTTTTTTTATAGTT